GAAAAATATTCTCGTTCACGTACACGCAAAGAACATTGAAACATTTTGCGTGACGCGACGCCATTTCCGTTTTTCATCACATTCGCTTTTGCACTCGCATTTTTCCTCGAGATCCGCTCTCGTTATCAAGGCCGCGATATTATTTTTTCGTTTCACTTTTTTCATGACGAAAGCACGAAAGCAGAGCGATTCCAAGTCGGACTGTAAGAAATGTGCATAAAGAATAAGCATCTCTGCGTAAAAAAACGCCGAAACGTTGTCAATCGCGCGAATCAACTAGCTTTCATATTCCCAATCATTTACGTGGCGGACGTTTCTCGTCACCAAAAAAGTGAAATGGTCGATCGACGAGTGGATGAAGCTGTTGCTATCATGACCGCGATCGATACGTACGCATCAGTGTCAATTTGTTTGACGCGTCAGTCACATTTGAGCAAACTCGTTGTATCTTTGCAATAGTGCAAATCATTTCTTCCGCAAAAAAAAAAAACTAGTCAGAATATAATTAACAATGTTACAAATACGTTATTATAAAATAATTTTACACACGCTCTCCTAATTCTACAAAGACTGGCGTTATATGTACACAAAATTGTTCATCTCACTCATCGTTCGTCACTAACAGCTTTTCTCTTCGTCTTTAAAACATTTCCATTTAGTCCTGATATGACCCATGGTCTGTGCAATTACATATCTCGCAGTGAACAATGAGACTAATTCAAAATACCGGTAGCATCACCTTCATCCATTCGTATTTCTACAACTTTTCGTCGTGAGGATAAGATCAACCTCCGACATTCTCGGGACGTTCGTTGACTCTTGGGATACACAATGCCGATCATGGGGTGTACATGTGAAATTAATTGGATACTTGAGCAATCGAAATCGAGCAGATGGACAATTAGCGTTACGACTTTGATTAATTGTAAATAGAGAAACAGGAAATTTATTTAGCCATCATCCATATGCAACCAAGAGAATTCTCTCTTTAGGATCTGAAAGTTATTTTTGCGCCAGAAATTATTGACTAAAAATTTCACAATGGTTGTTTCCAATTGATAAATTACAAAAAGAGAGGATTTGAAATTTTATTTTTTAATGTAGATAATTATAATGAAATAATTTAATAAATGGTGATTATTACTGGACATGCCAAAGCGATCAGTCAGGATAACCAAGAGTCAAAGTCGTCCATTCGACATGCATTTACAATAATTACACTTTTTTTTCCGCCAGAAAAATAGAACTCTTAAAACTTAAACTCAGTTCTTGTTCGTACGCGATCTGCAAATTCTTCCTCCTTCATCGCATCACAGGCGTGTGCAGTATGTGTGTCGCGCTGCGCCGTGTGGAGTGTGCCGTGAGTACAAAATACGTGCAAATAACGAGTAGACTCGTATCAGTACTCTTGAGCATTCCAAGTATTAGAGTTTATGAGAAAGTTTAGTATTATCGCGGATACCGCAATTTCCAATCATTGTCGACGATGATTGATGATTTTTCTTAGATAGCATGCTTTTGAGAATTTATTCTTACTGATAAATAGATCGATAAATGATAAAAGGCAAAAATAAAGTATAAAAGTGCAATAAAGTATAGAAAAGTTTCGTTGTATTTCTCGAAACTTGATTTGATATAACGCATAATTGTGAATTTTTGTCAAGAATAATAAGCATTTCTTTCTATGTCTCACTTTCGTGATATTTAATAAAAATTAAAGGATCGTGTACGTGTTCTAATATTTCGTGCACTAATATTTCACTAACGTTTCGCAAGACATTAAGATGACGCACTATGGTACTTTGAAAAAAAATTGAATGTAAAAAATCAAATTAACGCTACGAATGCAAACATGAGATCCGCTTTCTCTACATCAAAATAAGGACAGATAGACTTACATGTATTTCCTGTAATAAGTCCTATAATCGTAATTTAAATCAGAATTATTTAAAATTTATATAAAAAGATTAACAATAAATCTTAAATATTAAAAAATTGTATTTTATCAGAAGAGTTTATCGAAACTTCAAACAGATTATAATAATTTCAACAATCAAGAAGCAGATTTTATCTAAAATAGAAAAAAAAATTGGAACGTGTTGAATGTAATGCAAAATCTGCGATCCATTTATGCTTTTCTCGATGACAAATTATAAGCCAATCAATTGTCAATTACTATTGACATTTTATTAATTTTAAGGATGAAAAAATTAAAATAAACACGTATAGATAAATCGATATTAATATTCTATATGTGTCACAATTGGTTCATTTTATTTTACAATTACATAATATATATATTATATATATATACACACATATTTTCATATATATGTATACATATACTTTTTTGCGACACACTCCATCACGATTTGCGATTTCGAAGATATCCTTGCACAACGATATAACAATACTTATATTCATGATCACTATATTGCCAGTGATTTTCCTTTTTTCTTTAATTCAATATACATATATGAATATATGTATATATAGGTATATCAAAAATATCCTTAGTAAAATAAAGTATTTATATATATACATATATATGTGTATGTGTGTGTGTGTGTGTGCGTGTGTGTGGTTGTGTATGTATGTATGTGTATGTGCATATATATGTATGTACACATACATACATATGCACATACGATATATAACATATCGTCACGTTCTTTTCTTTATATATAGTACACTGTCTGCATATTATATATATATATATATATATATACATACATAATAACAGCATAGAGTGCTTTTTCCATTTGATGACTTGTGTCATTAAATGGAAAGCATCCATAATATACTACAATATTAAGAAAGCACGTATGTACAATATATGTATATGTATATACATATACATATATAATTAATATACATATAATAAATCTATGTTTTTATTAGTACATTTGCACGCGTTTAAGCGTACATTTATTAAATGTGTTTGTGTTTTATGTTTATATGTAAATGTGAATACACGAGTGTACGCGAAGTATGTGTATATACGTGTTAATTACGCATATTGAATATTTTTGCGATAAAATGGATACTTTATTTCGCGTATTTATACTCGTGTAGGGTATATCTACAGTTCTTCAATTTTTAAAAGAATATCTATATACACATTGGATAAAGAGGAATCATTTTTTTTTCGCAGATGCAAAATTCTCTCGCACAGAATTGTTTTTCCAAGAAACTTTATAGTTTTATCAAAATACAACAATCAAATATATTACCGATTCAATTAACAAATAAGTGACATCTGAGAAAAGAAGTAAAACAATATAAATATATTAAAAAATAACATCTCAGAAACATTTGTATACAAGAGTATCATACAAAATAATATACCTTGACTGTAAATAGTTAGAATAATGGTAAAAAGGTTGTATCATATTTATTTTTTTAAACTTGCAAGCAGTTGAACACTGAAATAATCCATAATAGCAATCCATAATAGCATCCATAATCATATATATATAAATGTCTGATTATAACGTATGATAAAAAATCATTAAGAGTGAAACTTTCTTCTGTGATCCAAGTGCAAGTAGAACCGCGTCAAATTGGCAAGTATTTTGATATTTTTATTTAGACAAATAAGTATATGATTAACGCAAAGTAATAAAACAATTGCGACAATAATGATGACAGACAATCATAATTAGAATAATTTGCATCAATAATAAATATTTCTTACAATATAAAAACTATAACAACTATTTGACACGTTATTATCGATTGTTCAAAGGCATATTTCAGTTTTTGATAAAGCGAATGATAAGGTTTTCTGCCAATCATTTGATACGAACAGTGCGAAGAGAATCTCGCATATGTGTAACAGGAACGTGGAGTGGAGTGGTGTAGTGTGATAATGATGTGCATTGAATGTCAAATATCGAATGATAGATGTACGCAAAAAGAAACGAAAAGAGAAAATCCTCTCAGTCTCACGCACATCTCGATCGTCGATTTTTACCGTCCGATCGTTCGCAATCCTACAAACGAGTTGAACGCTTCAACTCTATTATATTATAATAAGTTTTCATTATAAATCGATTAAAAACTAGAATAATGTACTCTATCGGTCTATATGTACAATGCGTATTAATGATAGTAACGTAATAAATAAGCTCAATAAGAATGTTAAATCTACACGTCTCACTTTGCATCTATTCGTTTCCCTTCAAAGTTTAACACTTTGAAAAGCTTTCCCTTCAAATTGTTATTTAATTATTTATATTCTTGTCATTACGCTCCTAAAGAGCAGGCCAATATTATATTGTATAATATACATTTGTTCGAGTCGTTCTCGCGAACACCCAAAAAGGATTTTTATGTAGATAAAATATAATGACTTGCACCACTAGCATGCAATTGCCGCATGACTATTGTATGTCCAATTCTCTCTTTAAACACGATAAGAGGAACGAATTAGCAATAACAATCATTCAACCAGACAAGATTCGACATATATTTTCATGCGTTCTTTTCCCCTCTAACTATCAATCTCCTTTTTCAAAAAATAGATATGTTCGATATGTTGAGTAAGAAAAAAAATCAAGTAAGCACAAATTGAATAATGTCACCTTTATAATTTAAATTCTTCCGTGTGAGAAATCATAAAGGAGCCTACTCATCTAACACACACATTTCCCACTACGATTCTATTATAATTAACTAAATATAGAGAAAAAAGAAAAGACGCAAGCTGTACGTTTAAATCAAAATCGATGCAATGCTGTTAAAGTGATAAATTTCTTCTACGTATGTGTAGGACATTCGATAAATCGATGATATAGCCAGTAATAAGGAAGCGATCCTTCGTGAGAAATAATCGAGAAAAAGACATAGTTTTCTGATTGCGCAAAAAAATCGTTTTCAATTAATCTTTTCGAGAAAAAATTTTCAATAAAATTACAAAATTCCAAAAATACAAGCGCATCTACTTAATTGTATTTGAAAATAGTTTCAAGTAACAGCGTCTAATTAGAAAGGCTTCTGCTTGGGGAATCACCTTATCATGGTCCCCTACTCCTTCTATAATACAAAACGTTCTAGATTTTGAGATTTTATTCTGTTCGTATTGTCACTGTAAACTTCGGCCTTCGATCTTTCTATCGATTTTTCTTCACGAAAGATAACTCTATTTGCGAATTGTACCAATACTTATTAGAGACTCGCAGTGTATGTACCTACGTTTACCGCATCGAGAATCCGAATCTCATATGCATAATTACGTAATTAATGTAACGGTTGTAAAGTAACGGTTTCTCACCTACCTCCTGTCACTTTAGGCACTTTCTGTGAAAACAGCATTGTTTAATACGTTTTTCATTAATGCATTTTATAGCGAAACTTTGGTTGTTATATATGTATAATATATCGTTAGAATCCAAGTATCTCAATTTCCTCGAATTATCCTACTAATCTATCTACAAGTTTGTGATCACGATCGATGCAACAAGTATGTATAAATCGCTATAATTTGTCCCGTCTTAACCGTAACATAAAATCAATGTTTGTGTTTTTGAGCGTTCAGGCTCAGTAAGTGCATCACAATGCGCTCACATAAGGCAAAAATTGCTCTCAGAGCATTGACCATAATTTTCATTATCATTTTGCTTCACTTTGGCGGCAATTTCGATTTGATCGATGTCAACGCGTAAAAAAAGCGTACAAATACAATCTTGTATAATCGACCTTTCGTCCTTACCGCTGTGTTTCCTTCTTTTCAAAAAGAAGAAACAAAGAAAAAAAAAGAGACTGCGCAATGTCTACTTACGTCTCTCATTCTTATTTTTCAGCGGATCTCGTGACAGTTTGCGGTATTACCGTCAAAGATTTCGGGATTTTCGGCAAAATCGGAATCGGAGTGCTTGTTGACGTCGGCTTGGTTGTCACTTGGATCGACTTGGGCAGATTGAGGTTGTGAAGAATATTCTGGCTGGTTGTTGGGCTGTTTTCATTCGTGCAAATAGCGGTACGCGTCATGTCGCAAATTAGAGGTTCAAAATCACCGCGGCTTTGACGATTCAACATCTCTTGCTGCATTCGCAAGTGTCTCTGAAATTGCTGATTGTGGCCGGAAATGGCAATTTGTGTCTTTTGGTATTGCGATCTGAAGCTTCCACTAGTCGACGATCCGTTGTTCGTGCCGGTAACAGGTTTGTCGTTAAATTTCTGCCGTTTGAATGCTTGCATTCGCTTCATGTCCGACTCGCACAATTGGAACACCTTGCCGCCGCTGCCGTAAACAGAGGACAAACTTGGACTGTCTTTCCGTTTGACGTTGCCGCCACCGTTTGTTGTCGCAGCAGTTCCGCTGCTATTATTATTGCCACTACCACCGCTGCCACCGGCACCACCATCGCCGCTGCCACCACCGCTGCCGCTAGTAGATGGTATAGTCAATCGTTGCAAATTTGGAGGAGACTTTTTTATGATCGACACCCCCGAGCTGAGTTTGAGCATTCGCGATGAGTTTATTTTGGCCGAATGCGATGACGTTGCGCCGCTAGTCAATGGTCTGGACATCAAACTTGTACCGGGCACGGATAGTCTGTCTTTCTCCAAAACGTAACCACCGCTCAAACGGCGCGAATTACTGTACTCTGTCGCGATCGGTTCCATTATAGGTTCATCCATTTTCTCCGGACCTTCATACGATATTAGTCTGTTTTGCACCGATGTAGAGTAGTTGATCGCATTTCGCGAGGCGTTTGGCGCCAGTATTAGATCGCCAGCTCTGTAATACTTCTCCAAAAGGATCAAATGTCGCAAGAAGGAGCTTTGGTTGCCGTACGGTCGCTGCAACTGCTGCCACAGATGCTTGGTCTCGCGATCATACTGGATCATTGTTGCACATTTCTCCCATCCTTGTGGCGTGACTTCGCGCACATTCTGGAACTCGATGTTTACGTGAAGATTCATTTCCTCCTCGCCTGGAAAGAGCGTTCGTACGCTTATGGAGGGATTTGCACCGAGTCTTTGCACCACAGGCGCTATATCGTTATTGTTGTTACTAAGTCTCGGCCTCTTTGGCAATCGCGTCAAGGTAACCTCATCCATTCCGAGCGTCATTCCATTCGCCATCATCCCGTCGCAAAGCGAGGAGATCGATGTGCTTGACGTATACCCATGTAGATCAAGAATCTTGCGCTTCTTCAGGTTCTCCACCGTGTTCTCGAGATACTGAACGTCCATACTACCATTCTCGTCGTTGTTCGACTTGGGAGCGCGATTCTCGTTACCCATCTCGGAGCTGCATTCCACCGTACTCTCATTCTTGTTTGGTTCCGGGGTCGACTTGTCCGACGTACCGCTTGTCGTACGTTCCGGAGACTTAGAGCTTCCACTTTTGCCCTGCAAATTTTTAATGCTTTTCTTACTCTTCTTATCCTTGGTCTGATTCGCTTGATTCATCTGTTGCGAATCGTCGTCCTCGTCTTCGATGTCGATTCCGAGATTATGCAGGATCCTATACATTGGAAAGTACTCCTCGTCAGATACTTGTTTTTTTTCTATCAAGTTTCTTTAATCTTTATGCTTGCTATATATAATTAGAAATCACGCTGAGCCTATATACTCACCGTTTTCGATAACTTTTGCAGAAGGCCCTGTGATTCATATTCATATTTTCGACCTCCCTGTACTTGAGTTGCAACTGCGCGAAGTAACGACATAACTTGCACACGAACGTACCGGCCGCTAGTAAGACTGGGATTCCTTGTTGACTGAGCTTGTGATTTAATTCGTTGATCTCTGGGATACTCAATTGGTGAGTGTGTTGTCGAGTGAGTCGGCGTTTGCAGAGCGCACAAGTCAAAAAGTGTCCGATTTTCTCGTAATGATTAACGCAGAACGACATTGTGGTGTTTTGACTCGAATCCCAGTCTATGTCGACCTGCGTTAACAATATTTCTCGTATGTATGCATAAATCGACACGCCATTCACCACAAACATCATTAGATATGTAAGCAATCGAGTTACAAATATTAACCTGATTCTGAAGGCCAGTTCTTATCTTGAGCAACCAACGGCGTTTAACGTGATGCCGCGCGGGATCTCGACAATCACGAGCTGAGCACTTTGACATCATTAATTGCCTATGTTGCTTCTGCGGCTTCTGCTGCATGTTTGCCGGGCTAGTGTTCGCCTGAAGAAGCAAGATTTTAGGCAAGTTTTCAGTCAGAAGTATCAAAATTAATTATACACCTAGTGTGTATGTTAATTTATAATACAAAATGTAAGTAAATAAAAGTAAATAAAGATTTGTAAATTGCAAATATAATCATCGTAGAGAAATAACGAACCTTTCTATCAACATGACGATAGCATGCGTCGCACAGACACGAATCTTTTGTAAGGTGTCTCTCTATGTTCAAGATCTTTTTGCGTCTTTCATCAGATTTTATTTGAGCTAGATGCATTGGCGTGTCCAAAGAACCAAACTTGCCAAAGCAATAGCAACATACGTCGGCACACACGCGCCCAGGATGTATAGAGAAAGAAGATGATTTCTCTGGAATAACAAGCGACTGACGATCCTTAGGCGTAGCTTCTTCATTATCGTCATCTATGATAATAAAATTGACAAGTTAGGTAATATTTTGTCAAATATTGCGTTTCAACGTGAAACTTTTCTTCTGATTTAGGTAATGTAAACACGGCGACATTAGTGAGAATGCAAAAGGTGGCAGGTGACTTTTAATTTAAAAAGCAAACAGCATAAAAATATAGCATGCATTGTTATAAAAAATATTAGGCTAAAGTGTAGTTTTTGGAACTAGTGGTCTGTAAAACAAGTGTTGCACAATATTCCATATCAGATTGTAAAAAGATAAGCAAAACATGATCGCTTTTCAATTAAACCATATACCACATTAAAGATTTTGCATAGTGCATATTGCATTATTAATTGTCTTAAGCATAGTAAATAACTTTACAGACAATGAAAGGAAAAAAATGAACATGGGACGGTAATAATTTTAATTAATCAAGTATTCTCTAAACTATCCGAAATGGAAATGTGAACAATCACTTACTATACTGCACTAGTCTAAATTATCAGCTAGAATCAAAGGAAATGTGAGATTTTTGGAAAAAGGTAACCAAGGAAATAATAAGTGAGATTATCAATTTAGTTATTCCCGCAACCAGGATTACCGCAAGAATGTCTGTGGTTAGTAGTGAACTTTCGGTTCGCACCAGAGCTGCTATCTCCCAAACCACTGGTTCCAAACTGAAAAAAAAGAAACAAAATATAATTGGATTGGTAAAAAATATATAAGCGTATCAAATTAACTAACTCATTAGCTTACTATTCAATTTCTAAATATAATTCTCATTGTCAGCTCTTTTAAATGCTTGTTTTTCATACACGTAGGATTGAAACAGAAATCTCAAAATTCAGAAACCGTGTCATGAAGCGCACGCGTTCTGATACGTGCATAAAAAGGATAAATCTCGTAAAAAATGACATGTAACGCATACTAAAAATTTATCACTATATCGACAATTAAATACGATCGATATCACAATTTTAGAATCAAATGAAAAAATAAAAAAGAAAAAAAAGAAGGGATTAAAGGAAGACAAATGTAGTAAAAAACAATGGCTGCGTTCAGCAGAAAAAGCAGCTTTGCAACTGTTGTAAAATTCTTTAATATGATCGGTCTTGTCCTTAATCTCTCACTGGATTTAAATGTATAAACTAATCATATTCAAAAATTGTATACCAGTTGCAAAGTTGCTTTTTCTGCTGAACGCAGCTATTGTATGATAAGCGAATGAGTTACATTTTTTTCTATACGAGCGAGCACAAATTTCAAGTCTTACCTCCTTTTGAATGGTGTAGAATTCGGGTGAATCACCCTCTCCGTCCCCACGTCCCTGTTGCTTGAGAACCATTTTCAATGGAGATCGCGATCCTCTCTTGTCCTTGTCTTTCTCCTTTTGCGATACTCTGATGATCGTCTTTAAAGTACCTGTAGATAACTGTTCCTTCTTCTTTTGCTGATTTTGTCTCTTCGCAGCCTCTTCTAAAGACTCGAGTCCCAATAATCGCAAAATGGATTCTTTTCTCTCCTTATCTTCAGGCGTTTCCAAAATCTTCGGTGTACCGCTATTGAACGATTCGCCGGACGTGGAAGTTTCATCGGAATCCTTGTGCGCGAGTTCCGGTGTCTTGAGAGTCTTGCGTTCGTTCTCCAATATATCTATATTGTCAGATGTTTGTTGCGACACATGATTCTCGGATAGATTTCGTGAGAGTTGTCGTTCCTCGTTCTTGCCGACCTTTGCGCCGACGATCGTTTCGATATCATTTTCCGATTTGCTGCGCAAATTAGGCTCTTTATCGACTTTGTCCACCAATCCACTTTGTCCACCTTGCTCGAAAAATCCACGAAAACTATCTGTGCGCTCGTCGCTGGCGCTACCGTATTTACTCAAGAATGATCTGTTGTTCTCATTAATTTTGGCAACCTCATTGTCCAGCAGGGTTTCCTCTTTATTCTGTTGATCGGACCTTCGCAGATCTCGCTTGACACGTTTGGTCTTGGAACTACTGTTGGATAATTCCTCTTTGCGTTTTTTCATCTCTCTACCGCGACGGTTGCGAGATTGAGGCTCGAGTTCACCGACATCTAATTCGTTGTTCAATGAATCATTTACATCTTCTGTTTTCTGAGAATTTTCGGCATCATCCACCGAGCCCTGTACCATCTCATTAGCGTCATTCGATACATCGGAAATCTGCGTTTTTTGAATCGCTTCGAATTCTTCCTTGATTTTTACGTTGTCGGCGTGTTCTCGGTTGCGAAATGCGGTTTGCTTAGTTTCAACCTTTTTCTGTTTATCACGAGTTCGTAATACTCTCTTGTTTTCTTCGTTAAGAAGTTTTCGCTCATCAGGATTTTTACCGTCCAAGGATTTATTGCTTTGATCCGCTATTAGAGTAGCTTCATTATGTTCTGGTTTTTGTTCCAATGTACTCTCGTCCGTGTTTGATATAACGCTAGATTTGTTTAATTCTTTACAACTACTATCATGGTCGAGGTCCTCCTTGGTTTCAGTGTTCAGTCGATCAGAGGTGCACTGTACAGACGAAGAATTTACAGAGCTACTATTTGAATCACAGTTTACAGTAGTTGGTACGTGTAATAAATTATTGTTAACTTTTGGACGTTTTACGCTTTGCACCGTCTTACAAGACGCATCGTTGTCTCGTAATAGTTCAGTTGTGTCAGACTTCTCGTCTAAATTTTTGCTTGGTGTTTCGTTTGTGTCATCGACAGCTGATCCTAATGGCGAAGAGCTTTCAGGTGCTTCTTGGTCATTTTGAACCTCCGGTTCCTTATCCAATATCTTTGTATCAGACATCATCTCTTTATTTCGTATCGTGTCATTTGTAATATTTGGTAATGGTTTGGCAGAGTGATCTTCCGCTACTAATCTTTCTACCTCACGAGATATACTTTCCAATGTTTCTGCTTCTTCTGAATTATCTATAACGTTCAGAGAGATTTCAATTTCTAATTCCTCTGTTTCGTTTGCTTGTATATGTTCTTCTGTAAGTCTCTTCTCTGTTTGCTCAGGGGACATCGATGCAGACACTGGTAAACCTACAATATCATCATCCAAAATTTGATCCTCTGAAATCGTTTCTTCGTTCGTAGATTTTTGTATATCCGCTACATCCTCTATGTTATCCGATCTTGGAACTGTTTTATTTGGTGTCCTATTCGATTTTCTCGTTTCATTGTTACTGACACTATCAGTAAAATTTTTATCATTGATTCTCGAAGACTTCCTCGTAATCTTCTTATTTTCGTCTAATATCTTCGATTCGGTGCTACTGACATTGGCGCCACTGGTTGTACTGCAACTAACATTTTCTTTTTCTGGCTCATCTACATTCTTGTACGATTGTTCCGTAGCATTACTATTATTTATATTACATGTAGACTCGCAGTTACTATGTACGTCATTAATTTCGTCATTATCGGAGGACTTGTTTTCTTGAACATTCTGCGAATGTGTCTCTGCTTCCCCAATATCAAACTTGACTAGTTTCTCTTCAATCTCTTTGGCAGTGTCGGCCACTTTTGGTACTGAATTTTCTGAATTTTCTGACGTGATTTCATTTTTCGTAACCGTGGACTTATCTTCGTCACTATTGTCCTCCAGTCCCATTTTCTGAGACTCCGTACTGAGTGGTGCGACAATTTCTTCAATCTTAGGCACGTCAAAGTTTTTACTTAATCCAAGACCTTTTTCCGGACCAAAGATCTTATTTTCAATGGATTTTGCAATATTTAATTTAATGTCTTCAATCATTTGATCTATTTGCGATTTTGAGTTGCCGTCAGATTTATCTGTGCTGTAAAAGGAATTGACTGTTTTCTTCATGTCTATATTTAAACTACTTCTGCGACCTTTAGATTTGTCTGTGAATTTGGCTAAAATGTTATCCCTCTTCATTTGCTCGAAATTATTGAGCTTCTTTGAATCTTCTTGCGTTTCCGTACATCTGGGCACTATTCGCACGTCTTCGATTTTAATATCATCGTCTCTCGTCGCTTCGCATTCCGTAGTTTTAGCTTTAGTTTTAGAACGTAGTGTAGGTCCGGTCTCGCCTGTCCTGTCTGCGCGATCGCTGTTATTATTGTTTTCTATTTCCGATCCGGTCTCAATATCCTCTTCAAAATTAAACGCTTCATCCTTGGAACAAATCTCCTCTTTGCTCGATGCTGCAATATTTTGTGATTCATTACAACCAGGATCCGAAAAACAAGAGTCGATATTTGTATTACAATCCGAGATATGTTCGATCGAATTATCTGAAATAACAGTTCCATCCGAATTTATCCTGTGCCGCTTTTTAGGATCGTTATCTGCGGAATTTCCCAAATCTGACAATTGACGCTGCTTTCCATTTCGCAAACTTCTTTGAGACGATTGCTCGATATATCCGACTTTCGATCTTTTTCTCAACTGAATGGCATTCTGAAGTCCTTGATCCGTTTCTATAGACTCTCCGTCCGATGTACCTTTGGTGTCGTCGGTGTCAGGTTCTTTCTTTATCTCGATGTCGCAAGCGATATTTTCATCTACCAACATTTTCTTACTCCTTTTCGCCTTTCCTTCAGCCTTCTCTATAACGCTTTGTTGACTTTCAACTTCGGAGTCGCTTAACATTGAAGCAATGACTTCGTCTATGGTAAGATCGATAGAATTTTTGTTATCTAAAATCGTCTTTGGAAATTTTTCAACACTAGTATTGCTTCTTGCACTAGTACCGCAATCTAATTCCTTGCCAGTGCTCTTCCGGTTTTTCCCGCTCTTGTTATCAGTCTCCGTAACTTTTACAAGGCTGGAACTGTTCTTCTTCAAGTTCGTTAACTTGACTGTTTTGGCACTCTTAGACAAAGAATCTGGACTTTCCGTTGTCTTTCCTTTCTTGCCAAGTTTCGGACTGACTTTAGCACTCGACGCAGCACCAGCTTCTTCCTTATTTTGAACGTCAGATTTGGTTTTTTTGGTCCTGAGATTACTCTTGGCACTTTTACTTGGTGTTTCAGTTCCTTTGCCTTCGTTGTCCCCGTTGTTTGTCTGATTTTCTGAAAATTTCTGAGCGATATCTGCTGCCTTGGCGGTCGAATCTTCCAACTGTCGAACTCTCTTCGCACCCTTGGCACCTCTCTTAATGTCAGGAGCTATCCTGTTGGTCACTTTCTTGGTAACCTTGGACTTGATAAGATTTGCCTTGGTTGCTCTTAGGTTCTGTTTGCGTTTCAGATTTTTAAGAGCATTCCTACGCGGTAAGCTCGCCTCTATTTTCACAGGAAGTTGACTACCTGTCGCTACTGTATCAAAAATCTCTTGTGCCGCAAGCTGCTGTTTTACATTCAGCAATGACTTGCCTTTCTTATTCTTGACCTCATTGGATGGCAAGACGGAATCGTTACTCGCCTTCTGTTTCGATTTGGAAGGCGCTAAGGGTTTCTTTTCCCTGGATGCCATCTCACTTCCACCCACATTGGGCTCCTGTAACGTCATTTACATTGTACTTTCTCAACAACTATCTAAACTCATCATTGACAAATTACTTGGCAAAATTATTACAATATAGTTGCAACCATTTAGAAAATTACTACATGTAGAAAACAATCTCGAATGACTCAATGGAAAAATCGTTGAGAGAGAGAAAGAGAGAGAGAGAGAGAGAGAGAAAGAGAAAAAAGCTTGGAGAGCAAAACACTTGGTAAAAGACAAAACGATAATTACAAAAAGAAACTATGTGAGTATATGATATTTGTAAATATCCATGAAAAGATGGACTAGCGTAAAAGTAAAATGGCGAGTCAAAATCCACGTTTTGCAATGGCAAGGAGCCGTAGCGTGCGCGCGGGCGCGCGATACCATTTCGCGGTGTGAAACGCACGCACGATTTAGCGAGGCATAGTCGAGGGAGAGCGCGAGAGAGGCATCGACGGAAGGGCAACAGTGAACAGGGAGCTAGAAAAGTGGCTGCACGACGCGGCGCACAGCGTCGAGTCCGTCGAGTCGGAGCAGACAGAGAATAGGAGAGAGGATAGCGGGGTTGCTAGATGCGGCCCTGCCGACCAGAAAAATTACGTGACAAACTTTGCGTTAACACACACGGATGCACGGAGCGCCTCGCTCGGTGCGCTCAGCGCTCAGCGCTCCAATAGCTCGACTGACTCCGCTCGAGCCGCTCTCGCACGGCTGAAATATTTCGCGTGATATCTCGGCCCACGTTAACCCGTTCGCGATAATTTCGCGCTCGCGAGAAAGCGCGCGTCACATGCTAACTATCGAGCCGAGAAATCGGCTCGGGACTCTCCGGGAAGGTCGTGAAATCGTCGCGCGAAATGGTGATGAAAAAAATCGCCACGAATAAACAAAAGGTCGGAGCTCGACTCGAACTTTCTGGATGGTATCGCGCCGCGACGGGCCCGAAGCGACGATCGATCGCAGGCCCCCTCGCGACCCCGACGACGGTACTCACCTTGGGGACTGAAAATCCTGCCGTAGGTCCGTGATGATCGCGAGTAAACGCGAACAACAATCCCCGTGGAAAGAACAGTCCCGTTGCAGGGTGTCTATGTCTATGCGCCGTCCCACTGTTTCCCGACTACCGCCACCTGACGGCCATGGCGTATGACATGTCCCAGGAGCATAGTCCGTTCGCGATAACAGGCGTTACTTGCTCCGCTTGGTCGCGATCGCACCCCTGCCTGCCGCGGGAGTCTCGTCACTTTTCACTAAAGGTTAAAGATTTCACCTGGTTTCGCCACCCCCGATCCGATGGTGATGGCAGGCACCGATGCGGTCGCGCCGCGCCGACTCTCGACAACGATGACGCGAGTTGGAAGAGAGCACCGTCGGGCGACGTCGGTCGTCGCGACGCCGGCTACCGGGAGAGTAGCGACAACGACGGCCACTACTTACGTTCACACCTCACTTCACTTCGCTAATCGCTTCACTTCACTTTATCCCGCCGCGTCGCGTCGCGTCGCGTCACCACCTCGCGTCGCCCCGCCTCCGACAGCTCCGACTCCACCACTCCGGTCGGGAAACGAAACGCTACGGTACGTGCGCGCTAACTGAACCCCGCGTTACAGGTTACAGCAGGTTACAGTACTTTACAGAGCGCGAATCTTGTACATACACCGTAAGCACACACCGTAGCTCGTAGCGTGGCGAGCGCTGGCTGGCGCTGGCGAGCGCGCACGACACTCACGTTCACGTTCACCCGGTTCTCACCTACCTCGTCGCCGTCGACTCGTCAACGTCGTCGACGGCAGTAGTGGCCCGCGCGGGCCTGATACCTCAACGAAAAAAAAACTAATGTCACGATAGCGCCGCGAGTTGGCACGCGGTTGCCCGCGATACGAGACTCGCCGCGGTCCAGACCTCCACACAGTCCAGACTCGGCCCAACTCGGCTGCGGTGACGAGCGCTGACGAGTAGTGACGAGTTAAGACGAGAGAGAAAGAGAGGGAGAGGGAGGACGCGTCCGCACCCGTGCCCGTCTCGTCTGTACGGTGTGTGCTCATCTCCAATGGCCGCCGACGGCGCCGACCCTTATTTACTAAAGTTTTCAAAATGGCGGCCCTTCGGATTCTCGCATGCGGTAACCTCGTCGCGGTCCCCAAGTCTGTACAGTTGTTGAATCGCGTCACGACCACGCGAGTCTCTCAGGTACGTATCGGGTTTCTCCAGACGATTTCACGCAATTCTTTACGTCCTTCTTTCGTTATCTCGGGATAATTGGAACAATTTCGTTCAAGAATCTTTTGCGTGGTCGTCAATTTCGTTTGTAGTTTTTGACTCAATTCTCCCAAGATTTCCTGTATGTTACAATTATATGAGTTTAATAGTATTAGTGAATCTTAAATGAAGTGATACATATTGTTATTTACTTTTACAAACGTGTATGAAAATTGTAATTTTTATAAGTCTAGGATGAAAATGCAAACTTTTTGACATTTCTTACCTAATAATGCAAAACTCAATCAAATTGAGATGACAAAGTTGATTATTATGATAAGAATGTGAAATTTTCCACAAATCATTTTCATCGTTATTTTTAGATTCAACAGAGATGGAGTAGTTACCAATCATCTTCAAAATATAAGACACCTGAAGATTACACAGATTACGAGATTAGCAAAAATGAAAACGAATGGAAATATGTAGAGCGTTTACTTCCATACAAAATAATACCTAAACCATCAACTACTGAGAATAAATTCCCATCTGGCTATAAACCAGCATCTGGTACGACAATTATAAAATATATTTCATTTACATGTTTCATTTTTTGCACCAAAAATACATGAACTGAAATTTTATCTCGAAGTAATGTATTTTTTCTTATTTTAACAGCTTCGCCTAAGGATAATCCCTACTTTATAGAACGTACCAAAAATTACATGCAGCCTGTGTACTTGTATAGAAATCCCAGAGGATGTAAAAGAGTTACAGAAATTACAAAAATTCAAGGAAATATATGGGCTTTAGAACAAGACATACAGCAATATGTACAACAAAACATGGGACATAGACTTGCTAGCCAGATAAACGAATTTGCAGGTTTACTTAAATTTAAAGGTGACTATGTTAATTGTATTAAAAAATGGATGGATACGAAAGGTTTTTAAAAATAACTGGTTTCTATAATAAACTATACTTTGTGTAAATATACAATAAATACTGCATTTTTGTTACAAAATATGTTATTGTATATTTAATAGTCTCACAAAATTATCCTAATGCCTTGCAAAAATGTGATTTGTAATTCTTGTTCAATTATAGTCATATCTCATGTTCCTCATTTGTCAACATGCAAATATTTTTACTTATTGGGGAAAATAGGAAGCATAATTTTAGGACTTTAACAATATCCAATTTATTTCTGTGAAAATACACGTTTGTATCACAATATCAAAGAAATTATCCATACATCTTTTTAAAATGCGTTAAGTATGTGTTAAGTACATATATGTTGCATATATAACAATTTTTAATTAACTCTCAATATGAATATTATACAAATATCAAAATCAAGATACAGTATCTTTCATATGAATTCCAAATTAAATCACTGCAACAAATATATATGTATATATATAAAACGATCTTTTGTAATAAAATTATTACATTTTTCATAAACTTAACCTAGAGTGCAAAATATGGATGTCTTTCTCTACTTGTGCATGTATATATCTTTTCTTATTCGAGATTCATTCAATTTGAATTAACAGTTCGTACTAATTGTAAGAATGGCAGAGATAAATAAAAAAACAATGAAAAATATCGTGTCATCGAGATGAAAATAAATAATTTCTTAAAACTTTCCAGATGATATATAAATCTTAATATGTACTCTTATATATTATATATCGTATGTGCGTGCACATATATGTACATACACGTATATACACGATAAAATCTTGTATATATTTTGGAAACTAAAAATACATATGAAGCAATATATGCCTATGTATACAAGAAATTTCATATTAAGATAGAGAGAAAGGAACATGTATTTAGGCAAAAGAGATCTCAGGTGATTATCTTAAATACAGGGTTTTTAAAGGGCGCATGTAAATTTTTTCTGATATTTTATCATTTCTTTAGATTTATTTCATTCGAATAGATTTTTCTGTTTTTATTTTGTCTCCTTATTTGATGCAAGATTTTACTTGAAAACTTTTCCTTGATTGAATTTACGTCCCTCTTTATCCGTGCCAACCCAACTGAAATATTGCCCAACCAATGTCTTTGTTTCTTCCTTAGATGGATCAAGCTTTGTCCAACTATAAGATTCGAAATCCACTTGCCAATCTGGACTCAGCTAGAGAAAAAGAAAACATTTTAATACAAATATTCTCTATATATTCCATTTAAGTGCTCATATAAAACTTACTGTAAAAACAAGGTCTTGTCCTCGCCAGACCCAAATGCCACTGATCGTATTGTCATTGTCTTCCCCGAATATACAGCAACTAGCAAATGCACCTTTTCTCAATGAATCTAATCGTTGATACATACCACTGATTAAATTGCAGGACATGAAAACCTACATGAACACAAAAGCACGCATATTAATAACCAAGTATATTTTTCAATTTTTCAAATACTTCTCAAACATCTGCATACCTTCGTTAATTCGTTATTATACTTATATTCGCTAAGCCAAATACTATAATTTTCTGAATCAAACTTTTGCCAGAAGTAAGGAATTGATTTAGATTCATCTTCGTTGGAGTAAAATCGTTTAAAGTCATCAAGGTCGAATGAGCTTTTAGGCATTGAAGCAAAGGGATTCTTTTTTTTCGGCTCGGTGGCTAAAGCCTCCTCCGTTGCGTCAGTTTCATCTTCTACTGCTGCAGTCTTTTCCGTTACAACTTTACATTCTTTTTTGGATTCCTTAGCTTCCTTTTTAGATTCCTTCTCTTTCTTTTCTTTTTTCGAACTCTGTACAAGATAATAATTTACTATATATTAATCTTTCTTTTGTGACAATTATTATATATTTTCATTGATATATTAACCTTTCCTTGAGTTTCTGCAAATTTCTTAGGATCGTATTCAATAGTCTTATCCGCCAATTTAAAGGCACCGATTACAGCAATGGATTCAGGTTGATAAATGACCGTTTGGAACCATCGATTTACATTCTGGTAAGGCTTACGTAATTCCGGTTCAAGAATATATTGATACAAGTGTAACAATGTCATAGCTACACAAATATCTGCTAAAGTCAATCGTTCTCCCACTAAGTAAGTCCGTGTAAGCAAATGAGAGTTCAAAGCAGCGAGTGCTTTATATATATCCTCTTTAGCATGCTCCACAGTCTAAAAGAAACCACATAAATTCAACTAACTAATGTTACATTACCATTTTATGTCATAACTTTACATGCGCATTTGTATCAATAAATGTATGTATATACAGTATTATAAAAGCACATGCCTCTTAAACGCATATGCTTTTTATGTAAATATTATATGCATAAACTTTAATCTACCTCTCTATGTTACAAAGAATGGCTATATTGCGCCAATTTTGCCTTTGAAGGAGGATACAGGTAATCGTGTATGCAAAATCAAATACGTAATGCAATATGGTAAAAGTTTACAGTAAATACCTGTTTATGATATGGCATTATTCCAAGTAAAGGAAACACCCAAGCACAGCTGGCAGGAAGAATTTCAGAATCAGCGAATCCTAGCCATTGGATAACCAATGCACGTTCAATATCAGTTTTCCCTCTCAATTGATCATTAGCCGCTATAAATATGGCACACATACATATTTAAATAAACAGATATTAAGGGAAAATACATAAATAATTTTTATTAAAGAAAATCTTACCATAATAAGCAATTGCATTGCTTTCCGTAATATATTTTCCATCGCATGTTTCAAATGCTGGGACCTTAAAAAATTTTATATATATTGGAAAATATGTCCTATTATATTACAATGTATATAGATAGTAGCTAAAAATGAGAAAAGTTGCTCCTACCCCCACCCCATCTTTCTTTCCTACCCTTCTTTTTTTCACTTTTTCTTGTTTCTGATATAAAATAATATTAATTATCTTATTCTATTTATATCACACAGATCTATTATACACGATTGAATATTTCTATAATAAGAATATGAGCGCCAATTCTAACCATACCATATGACTCACTACATTTTTGTATACCAGAATGTTTTAAATATGAAAACAATTGGAGTATAATAAAGGAACGTTGCCTGAATGGTACTTCACGATAATTTGTTATAAACCAAAAGTACCAGTATTGAAAAAGTATTTTACACTCTGTCATATGTGACGAGAGGAAAAGCGTGTTAATTTTACGCTGCACGAAATAAAAAAAAATTCGTACAGAAGTCGAACGAAGATAACGCGAGTGAGTCGGCTTACCTTTCCCAACGGAAACTTCTTCAGAAATGCTTCGCTTTTGTTAGTCTCGCCAAAGACGAAGTCATCGGCAATTTTAATCTGGATGCCAGAGAATTGAGCCGCTATCAGGGCCTTGTAGGCTCGGAAATTTTCCGGGTACGTGTAAAGGATCTGAAAGAAATTCACAATGGGGCGGATAACGCATTGTGTAGGCTTTATTTTCTGACATTCCGTCGCCAGCGTTGGCGCTTCATGGCGCGGATGCCAACCGGTGAAAAACCGCGTGAAAGTTACTTACTCCGGACGCCATTGTATCAAGTCACGAGAAGAGGAAGTAGAAGGCCGGTAAAGATCGCCCTACTTGAACAAACGCGCATCGCGCGAAGTACGTCACGATGCGAGAATGCACTCTCGGCTGGTTGCGCCCTCACACCTGAAATTAGGCACTTTTAGTATGAACGCGTCGTAAAAGATGCGTTCCGAATCACGCATGAAGCGCATCATCAGTTTGTCTCTGTTGTTCATCGAATAATAAAAAAAGATAAAATGATACATTATATACTTCATGCGTAACTCGGAACGCACCCAAATCTATGTAGATATTCATATATTGTGATTTTTTAAATTAAAAACCATTAAAACAGTACTACTCATGCTCAACTACATAGTACTAGTGCAAAACTTATTATTGTATAATTTATTGTTTATCTTTTAATTTTCGATGCGGTCGAAAAGTTGTAAATGATGCATGTTTGTTTTGGATTGATGATTGGATACAATAACTGCGTTCAGCAGAAAAAAACAGTTGCAAAGCTGCTTTTTCTGCTGAACGTAACCATTGATGTATTCTTCTAGATCTAAAATGCTGATTGGATGATCTAAAAGAATACACCAATGGCAGAGAGCGCTCACTCAACTGTTGAGTCCGCTGAACGCAGCCAATGGGTGCATCTAGAAGCACGACCACTCACTGAGCGTTGGGGTGATCCCGATTGACCACGGCTCGAATGGACACCACCAATCACAGCGACCGATGCTTAGGAGCTTTGTAGTCTCAAGCACTGTGAGTGGCTCGTGTCCAATTGAGCCGTGTCCAACTGGGTGCCACTCCTGAGCGTTCAGTGAGCTCTTGCATCTGATAGGCATATTCCATTAAATCTAAAAATATAGACCAAACAGGTACAAAAGCTCATTGAGCGCTCAGTGAGTTCTTGCATCTGATAGGCATATTCCATTAGATTTAAAAATATAGATCAAACAAGTACAAGAGCATTGGTTACGTGCAGCATAAAGCCTGATCTACAATTGCTTAAACGTAGTAAGTGGTCGTAGTTGTAACAATTCACCAATCACAGTCAGATATTTTCCTCGTATTCAAGTGTGATTGGTCAATTCTTACAACTACGTTTACGCAATTGTAGATCGAGCTTGAAGGCCCGTCTACAATACACGGAGTAAGAAGTAAGAGTAAGAAATTGACCAATTACAGTCGAATCCGAGAAGAATAAGCGTGCAATTATTATTTATAATTCATATACGTGTGCACATACATGATCATTTAGAAGTAAGGAGTGTTAAAATTATTTGTCAGCATCGGACAAAATTATTTAAATTTAGCGGAAGAGACGCCATCTTGATTTAACTCACCCCTATATCTACTAGAGGCGTTCGTTTCGCCGGTTAATACCATGAGAGATTGTCCACTATTTGATCATGTCGAAGGTTATTTGAAACAGTCTGGTCGGCTTGCTCCGT